GGCTCTGCTCCATAGTAGCGCGAGTATTAAAGCCCACTGTCAGGCGATCCAATCAAATTGTCAGCGCGGGCTTTATACGATGATGGACAGATGATCAAGAGTAATGTTATCAACCACGTGACCAAAGCGCGCTTGGGTGACAACAATAATGGCTGCCGCTGGAGAGTTTGGGTGAGTAGATTCTGCTATTAGGTCTGTTCTAGAAGATATCGACAGCAAATTAATTTTAAAAGAGGAACAGAGAAACGCGATCAAGTCTCATCTTCTTATTCTAGGCGTGAAACTGCACGCTTTGATTTTTGTGGACAACAACTATGCCTCGCTTAAGATACGTCACGCACTCCGTTGCTCTTATTGGTTGTAGGTCTATCCAATTGAGTACAGAGGCATTTTTTTCCTGGTTTGTTCAAAACACGCCCCATAATCACAGCTCTATGGAGCAGTATCAGACTCATATTCTGACTAGAATTGAGTCGGACTACGTCAGGCTACACAGTTGCAGCAATGGCTCAAACAGTGCACTTAAACACCAATGGTCCAGGTAAACCAGCTTTTATTTCTTACATCGGTTTGTCTTTTTTTTTCCATATTACAAATGGTATCCACGGTGTGGAAGAAGTTCTCTATTTTAAACTGATTCATGCATAACCTGTGCTGATATCATTTTGTGTCAGGGTTAATATGATAACACAAAGCAAACCGAGGAGGGGGACCTATATAAGGACCCAACTGTGGCCACATTTGTTAACAAGAAAAAAAAAGTGCTTTAAAAGAACCTCTTAAAAGAACTGAAGGTGTGCAGCTGCATGAAGGTTGTAGTTCATAGCTAGTAATTAGACTTCTGTGTTTTCACATCACTGCAAGTATGAGCTTTCACCCCTAATCCCAGCTGAAGCAGTCACAAATAAAAATAATACATCAGCATTAGTTATGCTTTAGTGCCAACAACAAGCCCCCAAAAGAGCTGTTCTCCTATTCTGCAGAATCTGTTAGTTCAATCTCTAACCTTCTGCTCTCTCTGCTTTTCCTCAGAGTAGCTTTGCCTCGTCTGTTCCTGTTTGGCTGTGACGTCATCCTGGAAAGAAACATCAGCTGTGCTGCTTCTATCAACACCCTTGTTAATAGATGTTGGAGATCGGCCTGTTTTCCAGTGTGGTCCTGTTTCTCTGACCGTGACTGAGTGGATGTGCTCTCTTCGTCCTCTGGCATGGGAGCTGCCTTGGAGCTCGTCTGCCTGGCTGTGTGTTTCCTGGACGGGGCCGCCTTTTACAGCTGCTTTTTGTATCTCTGCTTCTGTCTCCTTGAACCCCAGTCGGCCTTGGCAGATGGCCGCTCACACTGAGCCTGGTTCTGCTGGAGGTTTCTTCCTGTTAAAAGGGAGTTTTTCCTCTCCACTGTCGCTACAAGCATGCTTAGTGTGGGGGATTGTATTTGAGTCAATGAGTCAATGCAATCAACTGGTTTTCCTTAGATAGAAAACTTTGTATCAATTTGACTGTATGATCTGGTTGAACTGTAAAGTGCCTTGAGATGACATGTGTTGTGAATTTGGCGCTATATAAATAAACTGAATTGAATTGTAGCTCCCAGTGAGCCGTGTGGAGGCAGGCGCTGTAAGATGAATCACAGGTATGAGATATGCTCCCTCTTATACCCTTTCCCACTGGCCGAAAAAAAAACAGTTTAAACCAAGAAACAATCAGCTTTTAGTGGCAGTGGCAACAGCTCACTGACGCGTGTCTACCCGGATCAAACGACTTGGCGAACGACCCGCACTAACATCGCTTCGTGCTCTGATAAGCAAGCTCTGGGAACACCAGAGTCTGGTTGACCCATTAATTTGTGCCCACAAAATATGGACGTCAATATATTGCGCCAGCCATGCCTGATCTAACATTCTAAAACAACTGTTTGCTTTCAATAAACATGGTGCAGCACTAGTTAGAGAGACTTGGACAGATAGCAGAGCGAAAAAAAAGCCCACTTACTGCGCCCTGGCTTACATGTTGCTCTCCATTGTTTACTTTCATGATTTCTGTCACATTGGTGCAACAGAAATCAAGCTCACCCAGCTTGATTGTATCAACAGACAGCTAGGGTTTAGACCCAGCTTTTACGCAGTTGTTAGCGGGTCGACCCATGTTTGAAAAACACGCATTAAGCCGCTGTTTTTAGTGGGAAAGATGCTTTAGTGAAAAAAAAAATCATCACTGTTAGAGACTCCAACTTCAGTCTCTTGGTGGTACAGGTGCTTCAGGAAGTTGTGTGAATTTCACCTATGTCAAAAATTCAGTTTAATAAGGTGAAGCTTATGTCGAATAACTACATAAAGAGTAAAATTTTTAAGTATTTCTTTGTGATAGTAATGCTGACAAGGTTTTGGAGCGAATTAAAACCCTACATTTATTCCACTTTTTACAGAAAGTATGTAGAGTTTATGCGCTTTCTACTTGCCTGTGGCTTTCTGCATGAATTACTGCCTTAGTGCGATTGGGCACGGTTTGCACTACTCTGTGGTCACACCTGTTCCTGACCAATCAGTGCTTCCATGATTGCTGAAGCAAGAGGTTACACTGGCAGTGTGGGCAGGTACGCAGTCCTCTCCATGAAGCTTGTTGTCAGCAGACGAAAACATGGAAGGGCTCTGAAATACATCAGTAGATGGTTGCAGTGACTTTGGACCAACACCAGAAGATGCATGGCTATGCAAATCCACTGTGAGTGGGAAATTTTACACCAGGCGTCAAAAAGCTTAGATTCTATGGGTCTCTCCTCTTCAGGCTCTGAGACCTTGATAAGGAATAAATGTAGCAAATACTCTCACTTGAAAAGATAACTTGCAGTGAGGCTCCTGTTCAGCCAGTCCAGGACCAAGACTCCAATTTCTCAAAGAGAATGCAGAGGCTCTTGTCCTGTGTGAAGTTTATTGAAGTTCTGACTCCAGCTGCATTCCACAAGTCATGAATATCCAGCTTTAATAGCAGTGATTTTTTTGTGTGATTTACCCTCCATTAGGAGGCACATTATGGTCTTGGTTTTGTGTAATATTCAAATATATTGACTCTAATTTTTTTTGGCTCTCTGAATATTCTTTGTGATGGAGATGGACCAAGAGGATTTGGTTCCATTGTTATTGGAATCTGTTCAATGTTTGAGCAGCTGGTAAATTCAGTCAATCAAACTGCAGTTGTAGAGATTAAATTATAGAATATAGGGCACCTCTTAACAGGAAGATGTAAAACAAAAGGTTTTGCATAGGTTAATAAGCACAAGAATACACATTGATTCACTACTGACCTAATTTGCCCAAATAAATGTGTAATTGGTGCATCTTTTTTCTACATTTCTACCTACGCAGCTATCTACTTACCTTTTAGGGTTAGTCAGACATGTTTCATGCCCTAATCTCCATCAGAAAACAACAGATTTTCAAGCAAACTTTATTTCTTTTTTCTTTCATTCTAAATTCATACCATGAAGTTAACGTGCTTTTTTTTATTATTATTTTTTTACCTTTTTTACTTGCCATTAACTACAGAGGAAATTAACATCATGCAACTTATTTTTTTTTAATCTACAATAGATATTTTCAAATTAGAGATTCGTCTTCTTAAAGGCAGAAGAATCAGCTGATAATATTTTTAGCATTTGAATATCTGTAGAGCAACTAGAATTTTTACTGAAAGGTTTATCAGAAAATTAAAAGGAAGTGTTACAGTAACACTAGGCAATTATTACTTGTTTAATACTTGTTTAATATATACAAGTCAAATTATTTAACCAGAGTGGTTTGTATATTCTAGCCTTATGAAGAATGTCTCACATATTAACAGGAAAGTTGATGGAGAAAATTAATCTGCACCAATGATTAGAATATATTGGATACATGTTTTACATATTGAATAAATGTTTTACACTAAATACATTTATGTTATACAGGTCACAGAGTCCAAAAGAATGTGCGCCACCGAATGTGGAGATAGAGAGCAGTGTGTGTGTAAAGGCTCTATGCAGCTGCTGCTTTGAAGCGCAACCTTGAAGTCTGAGAGATAAGGCCATGGTGGGAAAACACCTAGAATGAGCGAAAGAACAGGAGCATTGCAGGGAGTTCAAGGGCGTTTGAGGCCTTTGAAAACCAGGGTGCAGAAATGAGTCCTATTTGTAAGACAGACGCATTGAGAATGGGTTGTTCAGGGCTGCACAGCTCAGTTGAAGTAATTGTAATATATTGAGTTGTCATCTCCAAAGCATGCGGTGCGGTACCAGGTTGCATGAAAAGGGATGTTTTACTGGGACTTTGAGTTTTAAACTCATGCTGACCTTTTTTTATGTAATGTTATGATCGTAAGTCACACTGGATGAAAACATTGTTTTGACATATTGATGATTAAATAATAATAAAGTCTGAATAATATTCTGTAAACCGTTGTGGTAACTGTACTTTTTCAATAAATTAACCTAGTATTTTATCGGTTCAAAGAGACACAATCAGTTCTTATTCATTCCACTGGTCGTCTGTTTTGATCAAATAGAAATAGAGGCCTGCCTCTAATTCTGGCCTCTTTCCAATAATGGCCTGGACCAAGATGCACCTGAGTGAAATAAAGGCCCCGGCCTATATTAGAGGATTTACGGTATAAAAAATAAAACCGTGGATGTCTGGGAGACAGTGATTCGCCTACAAGTTATGAATGCTGGCGTATCATAAATGATATATTATGAACAGTTTAGTTTGTGCTTCAAGTCATTGCCCATAGGAAGACGTTACCTGGATATAACCTAAAGGAATATCTTTAGAACGGTTCCAAATGACAAAAAACTCATATACATGGGTAGAACATGATGTAATAACGTAAAATCAAGGGCCCAATGTAAAAACAAAACAAAAAAACAGAAGTTTCCCTTTAAGTGTCTTTAATCTTTTTATTTAATTTAAAAACTACAACTACTACAACACTCAGACACCTGAACCTAGATTAGATTATTCCAAGCTAACAGTGGAGAAATTTCATTAGAATATTTTTGGAAATCTGCTCAACCTCTGACACATTGAGCTGGGGTCTGTCTCTTCCAGGCAGAGGTGTACAGAAAACGCTGCTGAGTTTAGGGTGTCTCATTACTTCCTCATTTTCCAGACAGTCACTGTGGTGTTGGATGTAAATGCTTTACTTTCCTTAATAATTGTTTGTGGGGAAATACATTTAGGCCAAAATGAATGAAGATTCAGGTTGCTTGATAGGATCCACTGGCTCCTCAACCTCAAGGAGAGAGTTTGGTGCTTTTATGTGAGGTGTCCTTTATTAAACCACCAATAGAACGCCTTTTTGCTGTGTTTGTGTTTCCAGACCGCCTGCAGGATTATGTTGGAAAAGAGGAGGATTTCTCTGACCATCAGCTCTGTGGACAGGGGAGGAAATCCAGTTTGGACCAAGAGGAATCTGAACATCCGCAGATAAAAGAAGAGCATCAAAAGCCAGAACATCCCTGTATAAAAGAGGAAACCATGGAGCTCCCCATAAGTGAGCAAAAAGAACAGCTTGTTCTTAAGCAGACGATTAAAGATACAAGAGAGAATCCTTTCCCATGTTTGACATGTGGAGAAAACTTTCTTAAAAAAAAGCATTTAATGGTTCACATGAGAACTCACAAAGGTGAGAAGTTTTATTGTCTGTCCTGTGGAAAATTTTTCTCAAAGAAATCTAGACTTGATAAACATATGATAATTCACACAGGTGAGAAGCCTTTTTCCTGTACTATTTGTAAGAAGAATATTACCGGAAAAAGTAATTTGACTAAACACATGAGAATTCACACTGGTGAGAAGCCTTTTGAATAAGTCACTGCAGTTAGATGCCACAGGAATGAACAGTAGAGGTGTTTACCATGTTTGACTGGTGATAAAACGTCCATCTAGAAACTCCTTCACCTCATTACATGAGAAACTCATGGGTTAATGTCTTTTTTTTTAGGCAAGTTTTGAGATTAATTAACAACTCTGTTTTTATTTAATTTCGAAACTACAACTACTACAACACTCAGACACCTGAACCTAGATTAGATTATTCCAAGCTAACAGTGGAGAAATTTCATTAGAATATTTTTGGAAATCTGCTCAACCTCTGACACATTGAGCTGGGGTCTGTCTCTTCCAGGCAGAGGTGTACAGAAAACGCTGCTGAGTTTAGGGTGTCTCATTACTTCCTCATTTTCCAGACAGTCACTGTGGTGTTGGATGTAAATGCTTTACTTTCCTTAATAATTGTTTGTGGGGAAATACATTTAGGCCAAAATGAATGAAGATTCAGGTTGCTTGATAGGATCCACTGGCTCCTCAACCTCAAGGAGAGAGTTTGGTGCTTTTATGTGAGGTGTCCTTTATTAAACCACCAATAGAACGCCTTTTTTGCTGTGTTTGTGTTTCCAGACCGCCTGCAGGATTATGCTGGAAAAGAGGAGGATTTCTCTGACCAGCAGCTCTGTGGACAGGGGAGGAAATCCAGTTTGGACCAAGAGGAATCTGAACATCTGCAGATAAAAGAAGAGCATCAAAAGCCAGAACATCCCTTTATAAAAGAGGAAACCATGGAGCTCCCCATAAGTGAGGAAAAAGAGCAGCTTGTTCTTAAGCAGACGATTAAACATACAAGAGAGAATCCTTTCCCATGTTTGACATGTGGAGAAAACTTTCTTAAAAAACAGCATTTAATGGTTCACATGAGAACTCACAAAGGTGAGAAGTTTTATTGTCTGTCCTGTGGAAAATTTTTCTCAAAGAAATCTAGACTTGATAAACATATGATAATTCACACAGGTGAGAAGCCTTTTTCCTGTACCATTTGTAACAAGAATTTTACTCAAAAGAGTAATTTTACTTCTCACATGAGAATTCACACAGGTGAGAAGCCTTTTTCCTGTACTATTTGTAACAAGAATATTACCGGAAAAAGTAATTTGACTAAACACATGAGAATTCACACTGGTGAGAAGCCTTTTTCCTCTACCATTTGTAACAAGAATTTTACTCAAAAGAGTAATTTTACTTCTCACATGAGAATTCACACAGGTGAGAAGCCTTTTTCCTGTACTATTTGTAACAAGAATATTACCGGAAAAAGTAATTTGACTAAACACATGAGAATTCACACTGGTGAGAAGCCTTTTTCCTCTACCATTTGTAACAAGAATTTTACTCAAAAGAGTAATTTTACTTCTCACATGAGAATTCACACAGGTGAGAAGCCTTTTTCCTGTACTATTTGTAACAAGAATATTACCGGAAAAAGTAATTTGACTAAACACATGAGAATTCACACTGGTGAGAAGCCTTTTGAATGTCTGTCCTGTGGAAAAAGCTTCACTCAGAAATCTGATCTTGATACCCACATGAGAATTCACACTGGTGAGAAGCCTTTTGAATGTCTGTCCTGTGGAAAAAGCTTCACTCAGAAATCTGATCTTGATACCCACATGAGAATTCACACTGGTGAGAAGCCTTTTGAATGTCTGTCCTGTGGAAAAAGCTTCACTCATAAATCTAGTCTTGATACCCACATGAGAATTCACACTGGTGAGAAGCCTTTTGAATGTCTGTCCTGTGGAAAAAGCTTCACTCAGAAATCTGATCTTGATACCCACATGAGAATTCACACTGGTGAGAAGCCTTTTGAATGTCTGTCCTGTGGAAAAAGCTTCACTCATAAATCTAGTCTTGATAGACACATGATATTTCACACTGGTGAGAAGCCTTTTGAATGTCTGTCCTGTGGAAAAAGCTTCGCCTCTAAGTCTAATCTTAATACTCACATCAGAATTCACACTGGTGAGAAGCCTTTTTCTTGTACCATTTGTAACAATAAATTTACTCAAAAGGGTAGTTTGACTTCTCACATGAGAATTCACACCCGTGAGAAGCCTTTTTCCTGTACCATTTGTAACAATAAATTTACTCAAAAGGGTAGTTTGACTAAACACATGAGAATTCACACTGGTGAGAAGCCTTTTGAATAAGTCACTGCAGTTAGATGCCACAGGAATGAACAGTAGAGGTGTTTACCATGTTTGACTGGTGATAAAACGTCCATCTAGAAACTCCTTCACCTCATTACATGAGAAACTCATGGGTTAATGTCTTTTTTTTTAGGCAAGTTTTGAGATTAATTAACAACTCTGTTTTTATTTAATTTCGAAACTACAACTACTACAACGCTCAGACACCTGAACCTAGATGAGATTATTCCAAGCTAACAGTGGAGAAATTTCCTTAGAATATTTTTGGAAATCTGCTCAACCTCTGACACATTGAGCTGGGGTCTGTCTCTTCCAGGCAGAGGTGTACAGAAAACGCTGCTGAGTTTAGGGTGTCTCATTGATTCCTCATTTTCCAGACAGTCACTGTGGTGTTGGATGTAAATGCTTTACTTTCCTTAATAATTGTTTGTGGGGAAATACATTTAGGCCAAAATGAATGAAGATTCAGGTTGCTTGATAGGATCCACTGGCTCCTCAACCTCAAGGAGAGAGTTTGGTGCTTTTATGTGAGGTGTCCTTTATTAAACCACCAATAGAACGCCTTTTTGCTGTGTTTGTGTTTCCAGACCGCCTGCAGGATTATGTTGGAAAAGAGGAGGATTTCTCTGACCAGCAGCTCTGTGGACAGGGGAGGAAATCCAGTTTGGACCAAGAGGAATCTGAACATCTGCAGATAAAAGAAGAGCATCAAAAGCCAGAACATCCCTTTATAAAAGAGGAAACCATGGAGCTCCCCATAAGTGAGCAAAAAGAGCAGCTTGTTCTTAAGCAGACGATTAAACATACAAGAGAGAAACCTTTCCCATGTTTGACATGTGGAGAAAACTTTCTTAAAAAACAGCATTTAATGGTTCACATGAGAACTCACAAAGGTGAGAAGTTTTATTGTCTGTCCTGTGGAAAATTTTTCTCAAAGAAATCTAGACTTGATAAACATATGATAATTCACACTGGTGAGAAGCCTTTTTCCTGTACCATTTGTAACAAGAATTTTACTCAAAAGAGTAATTTTACTTCTCACATGAGAATTCACACAGGTGAGAAGCCTTTTTCCTCTACCATTTGTAACAAGAATTTTACTCAAAAGAGTAATTTTACTTCTCACATGAGAATTCACACAGGTGAGAAGCCTTTTTCCTGTACTATTTGTAACAAGAATATTACCGGAAAAAGTAATTTGACTAAACACATGAGAATTCACACTGGTGAGAAGCCTTTTTAATGTCTGTCCTGTGGAAAAAGCTTCACTCAGAAATCTGATCTTGATACCCACATGAGAATTCACACTGGTGAGAAGCCTTTTGAATGTCTGTCCTGTGGAAAAAGCTTCACTCAGAAATCTGATCTTGATACCCACATGAGAATTCACACTGGTGAGAAGCCTTTTGAATGTCTGTCCTGTGGAAAAAGCTTCACTCATAAATCTAGTCTTGATAGACACATGATATTTCACACTGGTGAGAAGCCTTTTGAATGTCTGTCCTGTGGAAAAAGCTTCGCCTCTAAGTCTAATCTTAATACTCACATCAGAATTCACACTGGTGAGAAGCCTTTTTCTTGTACCATTTGTAACAATAAATTTACTCAAAAGGGTAGTTTGACTTCTCACATGAGAATTCACACCCGTGAGAAGCCTTTTTCCTGTACCATTTGTAACAATAAATTTACTCAAAAGGGTAGTTTGACTAAACACATGAGAATTCACACAGGTGAGAAGCCTTTTGAATAAGTCACTGCAGTTAGATGCCACAGGAATGAACAGTAGAGGTGTTTACCATGTTTGACTGGTGATAAAGTGTCCATCTAGAAACTCCTTCACCTCATTTACATGAGAAACTCACGGGTTAATGTCTTTTTTTTTAGGCAAGTTTTGAGATTAATTAACAACTCTGTTTTTATTTAATTTCAAAACTACAACTACTACAACGCTCAGACACCTGAACCTAGATTAGATTATTCCAAGCTAACAGTGGAGAAATTTCATTAGAATATTTTTGGAAATCTGCTCAACCTCTGACACATTGAGCTGAGTTTTGAGATTAATTAACAACTCTGTTTACATAGAAACTAGAACTAATAAGGTGTTATATAGTAAATCTGGTAAATACTCAGGTCCTGGTTGAATATTTGGAAGTGAACATTTGAAAGTTAATTATATTGGACCTGAGTAAATTAGAATTAAATGGCCAGAAAATGTTGAAATTTATGATTTCTTATTTTTTTCTGTAATGAGGGGAAAAAACATGATAAAGTGAAACAACAACATATTAGTTACAGATGAAGCAAGTCTGCTGTCCATAGAACAAGCAATTGATAAGTTTAAATTGTAAATATAAAATCAAGGCAGACCAGTACTGTGCAATGTTGGCATGGTGTTGCACATCTTTTTCTGAATGAATTTATTAAGAAAAAAAAACCTCCAGTTTTAGTTTTTGCTTCAAATTTTAGTTGAATGATAAGCTATCTGCTGGATATATTCCAGAAACAGACTTTTATTCAGATGAAAATATCCTCAGATGAAAATAAAAGCAAAGCTAAGACAGATTTAATGAGCTTTGCTCAGTTTTGCTTTTGTTTTTGGAGGATTTTCTAATAGATCAGCTGCAAATGATGAGA